CCGAGAGACAGAACGCTGACAAGTGGAGGAAAATATCTTCAGGTTGGGTTGAAAGTGCGAAAGGATCTGGACCAGTCCATTTGAAGCCAGACGCATCCTAGTGACCAAGGTAAAAGACGCATTCGACCAAGAGTGGTGGCCGAGCGTCATTTATCACAAACTGGGGGAGACAGCCCAAGCCATAGTCCCCATGGTCCGCGGCAAGACAGGGAGGTGGTGTCGGTATACCCGAAGACTCTCGCCAGATTGCGTGGAGATCGAGGTCGAAGTCGGGTTCTGTGACATTATGAGCCTGTGTTTAACAAAAGTTCCTGTACGCATCTTACCGTCATGGACTAGATTATTCATGTTTATCGTATATCACGGATAAGAGATGAGACAGATGAACAGTTGTTGGCTAGCGATGCAGAATATCTCAAAGGGAAAAATAATAGACAATCGGCAGAGCTTAAATATTGGCAGCAGGGGTAATGATAAAATTCCATTTCCACAAGACTAGCAACAAAATACCACATGATTGGTCAAAATGGATATTTTCACCAGATTCAGCAGTGTTGAACCACATCTCACCACCGGCAACATTGACCAAGACATCAAAGAATTGGGTACCGAAAAGCATGGAATACTCAGAAAATACTCCCCAGTCCCCTGCCTTTCATGTCAAGCTACTCGGGTCTTGCCAAAGGCATGTCGGCACGAAAAGTCGTTTCACTACTCCCTTTCAGGGCTGCAGCAACGCCGGCATGAAGTTGACGAAACACACGCTCACGGCCCCACACCCATAGGGCTTGCTCATTGCAGCGCTGGGCGAGAAGATCGTTCTCGACCTCCAGCCACTCGTTGGACTCCTGGAGTTCCTGCTGTTCTTCATCCAGGTGGATCTTGTCGGCGGATTTCAGGACATAGCAGTCCCAGAGACGAAAGTAAAAGTCGAGAAGTCTGAGAGCGGGCATGGCAAGGTCCGCCTGGCTGTGAAGAATTTGCATCAGCTGTGTTGTCAGGGGACCGGCCGGGTTGATGGGATTCTGTGAGTATTTAGTGTTGTTCACTGGCCGTCAGGGAGGGGCTGACCTTGAGAAAGATCGCTGCGTGACCTGCCTCTGGCTGGGAATCTTTCACATGGACATCATCCATTGTCGGGTTGGATAGCCTGCGCGGTCTCTTAGCAGGTCGAGCCGCAGAGGGAGAAGGTGGGTGGTCCATTGCATTTGCTAGATGAATGAAAGGAATCATGCCGCAGCAGAAATATTTATACAGTACTCAGGGGACTCAGGTATCTATATTAAGGACAAGTGAGACACGCACCATGTGTGATGAATTTCAACGATGCAGAATTTATCAGTAAAGAGGTGATGAATCACCTGTTGATCCTACGTGTTGGGCACAGCAAAAGATAATATTCTCCAGTGAGATGCGCAAAATCAAAAATTCAATTCTTTCATCAACAGGATACGGAAGACAGTTGAGATAAACGAATTCGCTGAACAAATTCATCATTCCACTGCAAAGTCTTCAGGCCTTTTCCAGAATGTCAGTTTTTTGTACTCGCCCACTTTCCCGGTACATGGTCCAGCTCTACTGCAGGCCGGTTTGAAATGCACCAAATCTGCACCGCGCTGACCGGGGCAGCTTTGGAACGCCGAGATCATCAATCTTGGTCTGAATTGACTTCCGAACGGGGTCATTGTATGCAAAGCCAAGCGCTGCGATCATACTTTGCCGCGACAATCGCCCATCCAGTAGAAGCGCGTCGACTATTCCTAGGTGCGCTCTTTGTGCTGCCAGGGATAATGGCGCTTGGCACGACCGGTTTTCGAGATTGGGGTCGATCTGATCATGGCGTAGCAAAGCCATTACCAGTGCCAGACTGCCATCCTGCGCGGCAATGCAGAGCGCTGTGTCATGGCTTGTCATCGTTTTCCGATTGATGTGTAGACGGCCGCCCTGCTGAACCAAGAGATGCACGGCTTCCAGCTGGCCTCGTTCCACCGCCTGACAAATTGGCGGATGGCCCAGGCCGCTGGCATTGATGTCTACGTGAGCTGTGTGCAGCAGCACCTTCATCGCATCGATGCGTCCGTGAGCACACGCGAGAGCAAACGGCGACTGGCCCGCCGCGCAGCGAGCGATGTCGATCCCCGGCCCTGCCAGAAGACGCTGTAGTGCCACCGTGTCCGGTTTCAGCACAGCATGATGAAGGGAAGTCGAGGGTGGTTGGAATTCACCGAGTCCCCCAATGAAATTGATGTCAATGTGTGGCTCTTGCAGAAGTCTCTCAGTCACCGCTTCGCATGAGAGGTGTGTAGACAGCCAGAGTGGCGTGTTGCCCTTCACGTCTTTGCAGTTGACCCTGACTTGTGGGTGGCTCAGCAGCAAATCCATGACTTCACGATTCCTGGTTCGGACCGCTGAATGGAGAATTGTATTGCCATTCCGGTCGTGCGCTTCCATATTGATATTTTTCTGTTCCAGCAGTGATCGTACAGCATTCATGGACCCATGGGATACCGCTTGATGAAGAGGCATCTCGTCGTGATACATGAAGTCAGAGGGGAACTTGGATTCAGTTTCCTTGATGAACAATCTCTTCATGAAAGGGCTGTTGTTGTGAAAGGCCTGATCCCATGGCGAGTGGCCGTAATCATCTTTGATATCAGGATCGCTGCCATGATCAAGCAAGACCTGCACAAGTCCAATTCTTCCGGCCCAGACTGCTCGGTGGAGCGCCGTTTGACCTTGTCGGTGTCTAAGGTCTATTTTCAGATCCGGGCAGGCCGCTGCCAATTCTACAATAGACCGGTAGGTGCCATACTTGATGGCATACCATAACGCGCTTTCCTGTGCTTGATTCTGGAGGTTAATGTCTACCCCTGGCGCTTTCAACAACACCTTTAGCACATCGCTAGCACCATGCTTCAATGCTCTCATAATCGAGGTTTTTCCGCGGAAAAAAGCATTCACGTCGGCGTGATAGCTGAGCATAGCCTGTGCCAGAGACACATTGTTGGTCTTGGCTGCCAGATGCAACAGATTACTGTTCTGGTACAAGATATTCTGCTTGAAAAAGGTGGGTTGCAGTCCGAAGTGCAAGTTTCTGCAAGATTTTTCTAAGGCGACGATTGCCTTGTCGCCCAGAAATGGTGCAACAATCAGCAATATTTTGCTAGGCAAGCATGGAATGTGCGACTGTTTGTAGGTTAGTACGAAACTCAGCATATCAGAGGAAAGTTAATGTACGAACCATGATGGGAGAAATGCCGGCGGAAGTGAGATAAGAGTTGATGTTGTAGAGGCTGCTTGGGTGAGAAAGCCCTTTTTATCATGCTCCCTGAAGCATCTCCCTCGCTCAGCTCCATGGGAAAGGTGACCTACGCCGCCACTGGTCGGCAGGGATAATAAAGAAAAATCGCAATAGAAAATGGTCGTATAGGTCCTAAACCCCTGATTGAGGATCCCGAAGTCATTGCTAGAGTTCCTAGGATCAATTTGCGTCCCAGGAGCGCCCCAAATTGTCTCCAGGAACACGTGAATAGCTCCTGGATAACAGTCCTCCTGCCTTGGGTCTCCTTGCGATATCCCCGGCATGCCATAACCCAACTTCAGTCGGGAATTTGGCTTAAGATCCCAAATTGAAGCATGAGACAGACCCTCAGCTTGAGTATGATCTACACTGAGCGAGGACCATCATCCCCACGCCACCGATCAACAAGGGCCCTGCCCAGAGTTGAATCCCAATATGCATAAGGAATGATTTGTCGTAGGACTGCCTTGGGCTTGGAATGTGTGCATGCCCTTCGGCAGTCTATAAAGATGAGCGCTGCCAGTCTGACTTGATATCCATCCATAAGTCCACCCAGATCACTTACTCCTAAGCCCCAATAATGTCATCTTCGTACACGTGGGACCCATTGGTGGTCTGTGAAATGGAGGTTGGGCCACTTGGCCAGCGCGGCACTTGCTGCGGGATCACTGAAAACGGCGCACCTTGCAAAAATTCGGTCAAAGCCAAGGACATCAACAGAGGTCACCAAGAAATGGTCCGCCTATCCCGCACCACCTTTGATCTGGCCGACCTGCACTCTGCGCTCTGCGGAATTGCAAAACACTTTCTCTGCAAGCGATGGCACCGGGAACGACAAGCCAGCCACTTAGCCCAAGGATGGTACGAGGTAGCCATTCGCAACCAAGCGCAGGCGTACGACGATCTCGAGTTTATTTCTTCGTCGGCAGATTCACCGGTAGTTCCGCGCCAGACACAATTCACTTTCAGAGGGACTCATGAGGAGTCGGGTTGGACCGTTCAAGAACCTCATCAACACAGCGACCGTGAAGCCTCGCCCGCCGGTACCCTGAGTGACCCCGATATATCCAATTATGGCCATTCATGGGCTGCTCCCTACATCACGACTGCAATGCTGCGAGCAAACAGTGTTCCGTGGCACGTGTCGCCAGCCCAGCCAGCGATCCTTCCATTTGTCACGAACATCTGGGTCGGTGTGCAAGATTTGACGCTCCACAGCGTCACTCCCTGTGACGATGTTGACAGCATCCACTGCATGTTTTGTTTGGCCGAGGATGACGATCGAGCGGATGAACGCGTGGTCTTGCGGTGCGTCGAGTGCAGGGGGCTATCGCACCTGGTCTGTACCGAGGAGTGGCTGGAAAAGCGCGATACGGGACGTGGCACTTCATGCTGCATCTGGTAAGTTCGGAGTTCACTGGAGTATTTTGATTTGGTCATACTGACACGCGTAGTCGAACCGAGACTGCCTTGGACGCCCTTTACCGCCCGCCGCGGGACCCCTCACCGCGAACAGAAGAAAGCTCCGTCGAGACCGTCGCGACGGTGCACAACAGAGCTTCCGACAGTAGTATGCGGTGGAGTGGTCCAATTCGCCAAAAACGCACCATCGAATCTTTCGACGAACAAATTGCTGACGGCAGCCGCATGCTGCGAATTCGAGCTGTGTCGATGCTTTGGAAGTCAGCTCAACCTGATCTCATATATTTGGTGGAGTAGACTTACCCGCTTCGGGATGAAGGAGCTCCGCTTCAGCGCCGCAGTGCTCCGCATGAAGAATGACTTTGTATTCTGGCCCACCTTCATGGAATCTTTGGATCGTTTCCGCTTCATTGTCTTCCCAGGTGACCAGCAGACTGCCAGCATGAAGGCTGATTTGGATGTTATGCGGGAACCATTGAAGCAGGCGTCTGACTTGGCGCATGTACCGGATCTCTGTGATCCGTGACATGGGGGATGCTGTACAGAGTGAAGGTATAGAGAGAACCAGTAACTCCTCCACAACGTCTCTCCATGAAAAGGGTGCATATTGTCCACCCACGGTTGTTGGAACCAGATCCCGGCATAACCCCCTCTGGTCCATACTGTCAAAATCCCACCGTTGATGTGGAATGCTCAACGTACCTTCGGCAGCGTGGTAGAGGACATCGAGTCTCCCCGTCAAGTTGTCGACGTAAACGACTTTCATTTTGCTTGGGGCTTTCAAAGCAGGCCCTGAAAGCCCGATCGATTGTCTTCGCATAGACGTTACCGGGCAAGGCACGGGCCTTCGCATTCCTGCAAAGTCGCTGTTGCTCCTCCTCGATCGTCCGGATTGGTGACGCGGAGCGAAGGAGCTGCCAGAAACTCTTCGGAAGTGTGGTCGGCTTTCTGCCGGTGCATTTTCGGATCGCATCCACGGTCTGTCTCGAATTAGTATGTGACACCCCTCGAATTGAATTGTACTGACCTGCGAATTTGTTTCTGCACTGTAAAAGAAAAGCTTATCCCTTGAAGCATGCACGAGGTGCTCCCAAATGCGGGTCTTGGTCGATGGCTCCAGAAGTATCTCCGCTTTGTCAACATCGCCAAGGTGCGCATAGTTGCGGAGAAGGTCGATATAGGAGGGGAGGAGAAGCCCCTCATGCAGAGATAGTGCATGCTCCCAGATTTGCCGCACCAAGTCAGCTAACTCGAAGCAACTGATCATTCGCTGTCGGTCCCGGCTAAATTTTCCGAAGGCGAAGTTGTAGCCAAACTTGAAGACCTTGCCGCCCACGGTAGGCATGGAGAGTCGTACTCCATGCAGGAATAGCTTGCCAGAAAACTTCGCATCTAGAAGTAAATCTCCCTGGGGCGTCGGAATCATAGATGAGGGTGAGGTCAGTTGGTGGATGTCGAGAGTGACCCGAAGCCATCGCAGGAAGGTCTTGGGTGACACCGGTCGACTTTGATGGCCGCGACCGGCCCCAATGACCACTGCGACATCTCGTTCGATGCGAGAGTGCAAGTCAGCCATATCGTCCACTGTCTCTCGCTGTTCGATGAGATTCGGCTTGCAGGCAGTCATGATGACGCAGCGAAGGGACTGCTGCGGCCCATGCAACCCGAAATTCCAATTGCAGTGGCTTGCGGCGATGCTCATCTTGTATTGGTGTCGATTCATGACCAAGGCAGCCAGTTTGAGGCCCTCTCCATGCGAGCTACTCAGCCTCTGGTCTCCAGCTTTGGTCGTGTGTCCCATGATGAGAGACTCAACGGGCAGTTGCGTGGATGCATTGGTGAGGATGACTCGGCCGGTCTTTTTCTCGTTTTGGATTAATCCTCGAGCTTGGAGATCGGCGTGATCGCCTGAGGCCGAAGAACCTATGATGGAGAAGTGATCTTTGCCGTCTTCGAAGTGTAGCTTGAAGTCTCGTCGGTCGAGCTGGAATCTTTCCAGAATGGCATCTTTCCTACTCGGTGTCAGCAAATTTCCCACCGGGTGGTTCGACACGTACCAGTTTTGGTATAGCTCGCGGAAGGCGTCGGTAGTATCCCAGTCTTTCACGTAAGACGGGGAGATTCCGAAGGAAACGGTCTGCTGCGACTGCTGATCTGCGACACAGGGACTATCCGAGCCTTGTTGCAGCTCGCTATGAAGTTGTTTGCTTGCTTCATCGCTGATACAGCTCTCTCGATCCATGAGAAGACGACTTGATTTGAAAGTAGCGCGAACGGGTAAATCATTTATTCTTCCAAGTGGGAATTCCACTATTTATAAGGCACTTGGGTCATCGTGGAACCAAATGGTGAGTAGAGTGGTGAACTTCGCAATTGAGCACCGCGAGGCATGTCTGGATCAACAATGCCCAATTGCACAAATCGTGGATCAACAAAAAAAGGGAATGATATTTGTTGTTGAAGCTCTTTGTATCTGACAATTGACACTCAGTCTTCAATAAGCCGCAACGTCCGGTGATCTAGTTGGTTCAGCGTACTGGCTGGAAAACTTGTGTCAGATTGAAGTAGTCAACGCACCTCAAATCAAACCGTGGTCTACGACCTCAGGCCACGGCAAGACACTCCTAGCTACAACCTCCATCCTTCAAAGTGACTCTTCGCAACAGTTGATTGGCAACAGTTGAAACAGCTGGTTCTATTGGGCTGGCATCGTCACGAGCAGGGCCTGTGAGTTGACGTGATGCGTATGTCTCTCATCTCCAATAGCTCGGCAAGAACAGAAGCCCTCATCCGAGAACTGCTTTCTAGCCAGAACTGAAGCTTTGCCTCCACGAGCCATGACCCTTGAGTCTCATCATTGATGATCGACAGGAAGAACTTATGAAAAGAACCAGCACCTTCTTCTCGCTCAATCTCAAGCCTCGTTGGATCAACGGCAGCCGCCATCCAGATGTATAGAATGGCGAGATTAAAGCAGGCTGCATTCACATTGCATCCTGACACGAGCGTATTGAACAGGGGGCCGAAGGTGATTGCTGGAAGGCCAATGCAGACGTATGCCTTGGTGGCGCTTCGTCCTGCCCGTATTGCTTCCTTCATCATATCTGTGTCCTCGATCGACCTGGCATCGATCACGACGGAATCCGACACCCAATACTCGGTGGACCAGCTGTACAGAACCAAAGGACGAGTCTCACAAATGGACTTCCAAACATGGAGCGTCATTTTTCTGACTGTTGAGATCTTTTCCTTTCCCCCAACACCGAGAATGATGAGTTTTCTATCCTTCTCATCGGTCGCACAGGAGATACCCAAGTGATAATCCGAGGTTTGGAGGCTGGTCGCTTTGGCCAGCGGAAGGACTGTAGTGACACCATCTTCAACACAAATGAAGACACGTTTATTGTCTGGCTTATTGACCACAGTACGACTCGGTAAAGTGGCACATTGCAGTATGCTTTTAATACTTTGTCCGCAAAGCTTCAGTTGTTCCCACTTCCAGACCAGCTCTTCAGTCTTTGAGTAGATATATGGCGATCTTGGGACGGAGGGGTTCTCGGCCGTCGAGGTACTAAATGTCAAACGGTTGAAGATTAGCACCGGCATTATTCTTGCAGAAGGGATCAAATGAGTGCCTTACTCGCGGATTTGTCTCTGACTGAAGCGTGGGGACTGCATCGTGGAATTGACGAGAGGAAGAACTGGCGTGAGGGGTGGAGGTAGAGAAATGAAAGCTGCCCTAATGTCTATGCTTTTGAATGTACCACGAAGACACCCATACTGACACGTAATCATTCAATAGTTCAACATGTAGGTACATCGTTGAGCGTTGAGATGACTAGAAGGGAGAACTGGGCTAAACCATTCGCCATCACGTTGGAGTTTACTGGAAGGAAAATTCTCTTAGAAGAATTGCATTCCCGCGGTAGGAGAAAAGGTCCTGGGAGCATGAGTGATGATCTGAATCAGACCCTGTTTGTGCTGTCAAAGGTATAAAGGCCAATCAACTCAGAAAGAGAACCTTCATACGCATCGCCACTAGGACCGCAGATCATTTGAGGACCATTTACTCGGCTCAATGCCAGACTGAACCAGGTTCAGGAAGGATTACTTAAAGTGAGACTTCGCCTGGGGGCTGTTCTGTCATTTTTCGTTCCTACATTATTTCGCTCCAATACCGAAGACCTGCGCTACCCCTCAACTACCAGTCGTATTACGTCCTCGATATGACTTCTCATACTAGATTCACCATGATTCGTACGCGCCTTACCATTCTGGTCCCCGCAATCGTGTGGCTGGCCCTTGCGAGTTTCAACTCGGCCATATCTCACTTCGCAATTATCCTACGGGACAATGCAGAATCAGATCTCATCAACACCAATCATGCCCTACTGGACCTTGCATTTAAAAGTCTGATGGAGAGAATTATTGTTGTCTCAGTTATTGTCGCCCTGGTCTCAGCATCGCTCTCCATCTTCGGTACGGTCCTTGCGATCCACCCGAGGTGGCTGCATCAGGACTGCAGATATCGGTTTTACTTCGAATGCCTTCAGATTATGGTAGGTCTTATTAGCCTCTCCGTGGGTGGATATATCGTGGGCTGCGTCCATGGGTCTCAATCTTGGTTTGAGCTGTTGGACAGTCACGGCCACTTGCCTTACTACGGAATCATATATTACGGGGCTGTGGGGCAAGCTTCGTTTGGTTCTCTCGTGATCACCGTGTCCTTTGTACGGTTCATCATATGCGACTTCTGCGGTCATTAGGAGCAATCGCGGTCAACGAAGTGATCATGAATCTTACTGTTCGAAATGTTTTTGAAGCCGGGCTATTTATTACGACCAAAACCCCGTTGGACTTGAATCAAGATGGCTAATCTTTGGAACGCATTTGGAGAGACATTGGAAAATACAAAATTTAAATTCACCATGTGAATCTTATTGAATACCTGGAAAAAGCGCGCGTTTTTGACAAGTATTTTTCCAATCCTCTGCTTTGCATTGAGCTTGATATTCAGAATGTACGATAGACAGCGAATATTGGAGTGCGAAATGCTTGGAAGTAGTTTTATGTGATTTGACCCGCAGATTGTACTAAAAAGAGTTCTTTCCACGGTGGTATGTGCAATTTACTCGAGTCATAAGTAAGGCAGCTCGTGCAAGTAACACGAGATCAGCAGCCGAGCGGCGCCTGGCTGTGATCAACGGATGCTGACAGGCATTAGCAAGTTCGGAGCTTGGGCAGAACGACTCACCATTTTCAAAACTGCCATCGATGCTGCCGCTCCAGAGGCGGACAAAAAGTTTACTGCGGCGGACGCAATTGGCCAGCGTTCGAGGTCGTCGACACCAATAGCTCCATCTTCTTTGTCGTACTTTTGCATGAGCTGCATTGTAATTGACGGTATGGCGGCGATACATGCGGCTTCAGACTGACTTGTTACACAATCCACGCAATGTTCCGGGCCAGCTGCAACTCGTAAGCTAGATTCTTCGCGGGAAGGGTCTTGACTGACCAATTTTGATGATCCCGTCAAGCCCAAGTAGTATGTTGGAACAGACCAAAGACTGATGAACAAGGCGAAAGGCAGCTAGGTAGCACATACCTTCAAGGATCTGAAAGGTCAGCACAGTTTCTTGGTACGATCATGAAGAACACACCTGGAACATGATCGATCCCAATTCCGCCTCGGTGGGATACAAATCCGAGCAAGCAACGACATCCCCGAGAGTCAGCGGTAGGTCGGCGACTAGAAAGAACGCGAAATCTCCATCAATGTAACATTCATAGAAAAGAAGGATATTGACGTGTTCCAGACGCCCGAATCTATCGATCAGGCTCCGAGCATCCTGCCTGTTGTATTTCCTGATGGCCACCACACGAGATGGGCGGGTGCGACGAGAGGCAATCACTACCTCACCGGCGATGTCGTATGAGATGGCTTGCTGATACGTGTCCCACGGGGACTCGTGTCGAACAATCAGAGCTGACCTAATATCGTCGAGACTGTGCAAGCGTGGCAGACAAAGGCTCTTTATGGGGCCTGTCACGGCTTTCTGGCTGTGGTGGTGAACAGGTCTTTTTGGTTCAGCGATGCTGGATTTCTCATTCTTGGAAGTGACGGAGCGAGGATATGTGAGTGGCGGTTGGGATTGAGCTTTGATGGTGTCAAAGTCAAATATCATGTGCTCTTTGAGCTGTCTGACTGCCATGATCAGGGCCGGCGTTGTATTCGTCAGATTGCGATATTCTGCGAAGACAAAGAAACAGCCTCTGAGAGAAATAGGGGACGATATTTATACTTGATTGCCGATATGGTGTTCTTTACATATTTGACATGCTTTACTGCGTTGGCTCCTCAAGTTGTTGGAAGATGAGGTTGCCCAACTTGAGTGCTTTTCCAACTTAGATCAGAAAGGCACACGAGAGCACAAAATCGCCGATCGCGATTCAGGCTCACAAGTGAGACCTCTAGATTTGAATGCATCAACTTCGTCATTCCTAGCACAAAATCTTGAATCCATTTTCATTTCAGGAAAGCCCATCCCTAGTTCAAAATGTACTTCACAAAATGTCTTTTTTCTTCGCGCATACCTGCTCACATGAAACGAATCTTAAGCACCTCCTCTCTATTTTTGAATGCACAAACACTATCCGCATATTCCCGAAGATCAAGAAATGAGCTGCATGAGAGCTCTCGAGTAACTGACTAGGCTGTAGACAAGACAGAGGTGCATCACATGAAGACTGGGCTGCAATCGAGGCATAAAGCTGAGTCGTTCCAACGGACTGACCAGATAGATTGCAGCCCCAAGACAGTTCTTCATGACCATGTGGATGAATTCGGTTGCCAGAGATGGAAATGCTGGTCGATGCTCGGCTAAAGCCTGAAGCGCTGGAGCCAAGCACAGCAAACCGAGCGAGACGCAGTGGTATGGGAATCGGATCCGAACTACCGCGAGTCGAACGTGAGGAGCTCCGCAACAGTCACAAAAAATGCAATGGTGAGGATGGCTGCATATCCCAGTTGAATGGAAGGCTGTGTCTCAAAAAGATGAAGGACTGTTGGAAGAGTGCTCGTCCAAATCACAGCTAATACAGCTCCAAGCTCAAATTCCGATCTTCGAGACGCCGTGTATTGGCCGTTTTGAAAGATGGACAGGACTTGATCAAGCAAGATCAACGAGCACCATAAGATGACACTGGCGCAGAAGGCAATGACAGAGAGTGCTTGGAGAGTTGGACTGCCGAGCTTAAAGCAAAGAAATAGGAGAACCTGCGCAAAAACAACAGAGAAGTAGAATATCCCCAAGAGACTGATGAGGGAGATGATGGCGCAATGCCAGGCATTGGAGGGGTGATATTTTCCCATGTCGGGTCCGGTTCTTGCTGGTGTGACGAAGTGCAAGAATCTTCTTTTCCAGCATAACTGCATCATATATAGTTGAAACCAAATCGCAAAAGGACAGACAATGACGTTTGCACCTAGGCGTCAACAGTGGCAGAAGGGTTCTCACCATCGCACATTCTGCAGAGATTCACAAACTCTGTAAGCGTACTCTCAAGTTCTAAAATTGTTGAAAAACTTGACACGGTCAACAATTGAGTGAGGAGCCGGCCGTTAGCGACTGCATCTGCAAGGCAACTATCGACCGTGGCAGCTCAATTTCCAAACGAAGCAGATGGTTTCACCGGCAGACTCTACATAATTGCATCTGCTGTGGAATCGAATGGGGACCAAACGGAACGATCGGAAAGCCATAGTGATGTCTGATCAGATTTGTCGCGTTGCGTACATGGATACTGTACTACTGGCGGTAGAATCGCTCAAAATCTGTAGCAGGACTATGGAGATTTTGCTCGATGTGTCTACCAGGCCACTGCCAACCTTTTGAAAGCCCCATGTATTGCTTCATATGCTCGTATACTGTGGTTGCTCAAACTCAAGAGTGAAATCATTGATTATATTCCAGTCGGGTCGCGTACACCACACAAAGACCTTCTCTCATCAAGGCCTCTCATCAGATTGAGAATTCCGCCGAGGAGACGTACTCTGCATTGGTAGGTGGTGGATTTTCTTCTAACCTGCATATTTTTGTTCTCATTCTTGTTCTTTTATGGTCGTAATGGATCGCAATAGCATGATTGATCTACTTAATATAGCTATGAGAATATGTTCCTCGAACTCATGCATGTTGCACCAATTATAAAAAATCTTAAAAACATACACCAAAGTCCTTTCTATAGAAGAGCTCGCGTCGGCTCCAAGCCATACTGAAATAATTCACGTGTTGCATGGTACTGTATCACCAACTCGCTCTCTCACAGGCAGTGAACTCGCAAAAAAACTATTGCTCATTCCTTGCCAAAGATTCATACCTCCAATCTGGGTGAGAATTCAGACAGACTCAGTTCCAGCATGGGCAGGCTGCCTGATGAGCTCGCAGGGGAAGTAGTTGTGGTATTGGCAGAGACTCCTGTGAATGAGGTGATTCCAGAGCAAACGCTATTCTCATTCGATGTCGCGCATGCCTCTCGCGGAGTTTCTCTTTGAGATGCCTCGGATCTCACACTTCTGTCCGGTGTCACAGATACCCATGGGAACATCTTGTCCACGAGGCTCGTCTTGCTTGATCTGCACCGCTCTTCGGACTCATGCTGAGATAGACTGGGCTGCCTGCTCGTCAACGACCGGAGTCGATTGAACACAGAGAACTCTAACTTCAGCTTGATGCTGTACACGACAGTCTTGAAGCTCACTTGAATATAGTGTAGCTTGTACCCCGTGAGAAGGAGCAGGATATTTAACAACACGACAATAACATTGATCCAGAGCAGATGGATGATGGCATTCCGACCATTGCGACCTCGGATCTCAATCATCGGCTTGAGAGCTCGGACTGCTTCGTAGATGTAAATGCCGCAGATGATGGAATCTTGCACGCAGAAGCCGGTGACCTGTATGCGATCGTATATCGCGGCGGGTCGAGCGAAGCTTGCGTCCCCTTGGTTCAGGCCAAAGAACAAGACTGTCATGGGGACATGAAGAATGAAAAAGTTCCCGACGATCATCCACAGCACCCACCGCACCTTTTCCATGTTGGAGACAACGAGGTTCAGACGTGAATAGAGTACGACGGCCTGACCGGTAACCATGGCGTACCATCCAATGATGAAAGGGATTGACGTAGAAAGATTAGATGCCTGAGAGACAAAACGAGCCATGGCAGGCAGTGCATGCAGAAGAATGCCCCAAGACGCGACCTGCATGCTCCAGAAATAGAGGCCGCTGTAGCGCTTGAACGTATCAAATGTGACAATTCCCGTTTCCAGGGCATTGTATGCGCCGATCGAGAACATGGATACGACCTGAATAATTGAGACGTTTTTCATCAGGATGGCCCCGACGTCTGAAGGCAGGCTGGTAATGATTGTATCCATGGATGACCAAAGACTTGTCGCAAACGTAAAAGAATATGAAACTTATGAGGTGGACATGGTGAGTAGACAAATTTTAAAGCCTACTGCGGCAAACATGTGACTTTCTTGCAATGAGATCACGGCATAGTAGCTGGGGGCTGCTTGGAATGATCTGACGAACTTTCAGATCTTATTGGGTCAATGGATGGCCGGGTCGCAGACTCATTGATAACGTAGAAGCTGGGACGAACACTAGGCGTAATTAGCCTCGATCCCTTTTGTCTTTCTACCAGGTCGGCCAGACAATGGCATTTTCTCGTGCCTCTGGAAGTCCGGATCCCGATGAAACGTTAGAGAAAGAAAAGTAAGATTCTCAGCTTCCATAGACTTTGAGTGGGGCTGTCTGAGAAGTTGGATGATACTCTCGTCAGACCATGGAAACGACCGGTCGCCAGGACAGCCTCAGGCGAGGAGGACGCGATTGTCCATGGATGGGTGATCTGAAATTGACACTAAAAAAAGTCTTTGTGGCTGAGTATGTTCAAATTCAAGCTTCCCGACAGGAATAAACATTCGTGAAGAGCTGTCCTGTAATATACTCGTGCCCTTTCAACCGTCTATCCAAAAGCAATTTACTGGTGCTGGAAAACTCACAGGCGCAGGCAGAACCGTATCCCGTACAAGACACACCTGCGGGATTTAGAATAAGTCTGGGTATGGCACATATGTCTGGCCTACGACGCAGACCCTGACGTCGGAAGCCAATCAGAGTTTGAATTGTCCCCGAACTATTCATGTAAGCTATTCCATCCTGCCCAACATGTACGACCCTAAGTGAGCTGTGGTTCTAGACCGTAATAAATTCAGGCCAAGAGGATGAACCACCAAGTGGGCAACTAGGGGGCTGGAAGAAGGGTCGATGCAGGAAAGATAGCTTCTAGATCTTTCCATCGACTGGATCGAAAGGACGGTTACCCTGGTAACGGAAAAGTGGAGAAGACCTTCTCTATGTGGAGTCATCCGTTAAAGAGTGGATCGCGAATCACCTTCAAGGCATCAATTTGGGAGCAACATTAGTAGCGTTGTGCTCTGTGCTCCCAAAACACGAGTCATATGAGCCGTTTGTGTCAGAAGAGCAATCTAAATAAGCATGAATTGTGAAGGGACACTCAGTTACACATCTGGTAGTCGATCGGATCGTGATTAGTGAATTGAATGTCAATGCAGAGGTCCTTGGTTGGTCATTTCTTCGACACGGGACACGGGTCCGCGAGTCAGTGTTCCTAGTCTCAAGGTCCCACCGATATCTGTCTCGATCGGATCATGAGTCACGTCTTATCAGGTCATTTCTGATTGGCGTCTTGCGCCAGGGTGTGATAGGAGCGTTGCAAATTTTTGCAATGGATGAACCATGATAAGTCCCACGGCGAATGGCATTCAGAACCAAACTTCCCCGTCGTGTTACCATGTGATTAGCAGCACTCAGTATTATTCAGCCATACAAATATTAGGCTTCAAGCCATGTACTGGACCAAGAAAAGGGGTAATGACCTGGATTTCAATCTCACCCAGTGGATTATCTGGTATAAGCCATACTCAAAAAAGAAACATATGCACTAAATGGCTGCTTGGTAATCAACGGCTCTCTGTATGTATGCCGCAGAAAGTCATCCCTTCATGTGTGTATCAAAACTGCCTTTGGGGATCATTTTGAGACCCTAAGTTGACATACGCAGCAGCGATTTTTCTGCGGACCCATATCAGAACAACAAAAAATGCATCATGTCCAGTTTCATGAGGCATGTGGGTATTTTCTAGCACGCTTACAGATTCTGGGTTGTCGGTGTGAATGCATATTGGTGACTTCCAACTCGGAAAATTGGTACCAATAGGGTTGCTTGGCAGGAACACATATTTTTGCGCTTCGTTGCAGATGATCTCCCAACGGACCCCCTAGTATTAAAGGCTATGCCTTCCCAACCTTTTGCACGAGGGAATCTTCAGCTTTTCATCCTTCAGCTAAAACTCGCTTGTCAAAAGATAGCATGGCAAATCAATCTAACTCCGCCCCAAAGAAGCCAGACATCACAAGCAGGTCGAGAGTGACGCGTGCGAAGTCCCGAGTCAATTCTCCCAGCCCTACTCAGTCGGGTGTCTCTCAGTCTCGTGCAGACTCCTATTCTCTGCACTCAGTGGCGCAGCCGTCCAAAGTCCCAGTATGTTGATGGTGGTCTATTTTCGATTCCTAAATTCTTGAGTTACCCTTTACTATGCTCAGTACTGCCGATACCATGCGCACCAGCTGATCATACTATTTAGGGGCATATCGTGTCAAAGAGTGATCGGAAGAAGGAGTTCAGAGCTATTCATGCCAAGTGCCTTGATGAGATGGACAAAATTGGTCGGGAGCTTCAATTGGCCCTTGCGGAGAAAAACGATCAAAAGGCCTGCGAGTCTCAGCTGTTGCAGAGAATGCAAGCCGCAGAAGCTGAAGCGAGTTCGAAATTGCAACAGGCTATTGCGCGAGAAGAAGCCGCTCTGGCTGACAATGAAAGACTTCAGAACGAGATTCGTCAACTCCAGCAGCAGGTGGAATCGCTGATTGCTTCGACACAGGATAACGTCCCATGGAACGAAATTCAGCTGGTATTGCATCAAACACATGGCGAACTAGTCTCCGCGACCACGCGATACTGGAACGCGATCGACGCTCTCCAGAACCGCAGACTAGCATCCTATCTACCCGGCTCCGGAGTGATCCACGGAAATTGGACGGAGCAGTACGGCCCGCCAGGAAAATTGGGACAGAATGCCCTTCCCGGGTTCTCCGCATCGGGTAATCCCCCGCTGAGCAATCTGCAACAAAAACCTGGGGCAAACAATGTATTTGATTCGTTTGTGTGAAGCGTCATGATCTTCGGGTTCTTGTGGGTCCAATCCAGTTTAGTGGAT